GGGATGCTTAACGGTCACTCCAGTCCATGCTGATGATTACGAGCAGCGATATCCCGAGGACCCTCCAGGATCCGAATGCGGTCCCATGGCTAGGATCTGGCGGATATTCCTTGACGAGTGTCAGGAATTTGATGCCGGAAGAATAGAGATTCTCCGAGACAGTGTGGACGTTCTGCTAGTGTTTGTGAGTTTGCTTTCGTTCAAACGCCCTGACGCCAGATGCTAAAATACTGGCTCTCAGGCTGGCTTATTCTCTGCTGCCGTAACGACTTTCGTGGCCCAGACTTCACAAAGCTTACAGACGGACTACACAAGGATCTCTGCTTCTTTGCTGTATGAATCAGTCAGCATACAGCGCGCCGTGGCCTCTGGTGTTGCGGTTAGCTCTATTCCCGTATCTCCATTGAACCCCACCACCACTTTTGTCGCATCCACATCCGATCGTTGGGTTAATGGCCTATGGTTTACAAGTCTTTCCCTCAGCTTGATAACCGCTCTCGTCGCGGTACTGGCAAAGCAGTGGATGCGACAACACATGCTGGCATCCTCCGGCACTCCGCGGGACCGGGCGAGGATTCGCCAATTTCGTTATATGGGTTTCGAGGCTTGGCATGTCCCAATTATCATTGGGATTCTTCCGTCTCTGTTGCATATCTCCCTTACCATCTTTCTCGCGGGACTGGTGGTTTTCCTGATGGTCTTGGAACGTCCGATTGCATATGTGATACTTACATTAACGGGAGGCTCAAGTGCATTGTATGTCATCGCTATGTTCCTACCAGTTTTCTACCCCCAATGTCCTTATCGCACACCATTGACGGACCTCGTCTTCATCGCTTGCAAAGAACTCCTACGTTGGACATTGAAAGAGCGATATATCCAGCCTTATCCTCCTTCCGTTCGAGAATTGGAACTCCAAAGCATTGAATCACAATCGGACTCCTTGGATGTTCAGTCCCTTCGTTGGCTGTACACCATATCTTCCAACCCTACGGTTCACAGCTGTGTCATACAGAGCATTGGCGGGCTCCAGGTTAGCATCAACTCTGAAGAGTTGGATACTTCTTTCAAGGGAAGCGGAATCCAAGAGAAACAACAGGAGCTCTTACAGGAGTGTTTACAGCCCTGCATTGATCGCAGATATTCTGTTCTGGTGGAGGGCATGGATACATCCGTAGAACGCCTACTTCGTAGTCGTCTCCGTCTTTCAGTGGCTATGCGTCAAAGCCATAATTCTAGCGTTCCACGTTTACTCTTGACTCCAACTTCGCATAGTCCTGGGCATTCCTCTGAGGCAATAGCGCTGACTGCAGCTATCGCCTGCCACAATGACGTTCATCCCCCCGAACATCCGTCCGGCGCCGATCTTTTTCTCCATCTCACGAAACAGCCCCAGCCCAACAGCATAGCTCTCCATCCCCTTTTGTGGAAATCATTATTTTCCGACATGATTTCCAACCACCTTTTCGATCCCCTGGATTCATCTAGTCATAATCACGCGTTCGAGGAATTTTGCAGTTCATTCATGCGAATAATTGCGCGTCGGGGAATACTATGGAATGCTTCTCAGCCACAGGACGATGGCACTCGCACAGTAAACTTGCAGAACGCATCATACTTTGGTCTATACAACGTCATCGAGGAACAGCTCCTCAGCGCCCTAGCGAGATTTGATGAACATCAAAATGATACCGCGATGTCGCGGCATATACGCTTGTTACTTGCTATCATGAACTATACCCTTTCCACTCGTTCATTTCCCGCAGTGCATTGGAGTGATCCTGACCCGCCGAACGAGTGCTTCTGTGGAAGGTGCCTGGGTATGCTCTTCTTTGCAGTGCATGATCTCCGAATATGCATCAAAGACTACGCACCCTTGTCGTCTCGCGAAAGCAATGCGATCTGTTCTACAATAGAAGGGCTCGTAATGTCCCAGTCTTTCGCAAGCAAGTACAAGCCCTGGTCTCACGTACTGTGGGTGATGCGATCCGATGTGGTTCGCATCCTGGTACGCATGACTATTACTCAGGTGTACAACCCCCAATCATCGGCGCATAATCTGTCCTGGCCCATCTTGCCTTCTCAATGGACAAAATTCAGAGACGTGATTTGTCGACTTTCTTTCCATCAGAGCTCACTTGATGACCTGCCGCAAGACATGTACGCGCGAGCGAAGTGTGTTGTTGAGATGGGAGGTCTTCTAGCGGATGACATAAATCGCGGAGATGCCACTGCGCTGGATACTTTTATGGACCTCGATATCCTCGGATTTATAGGGCGGACAATGTACATGTTTCCTTGGCTCCGCATCATACAGGCCTATATCTCGGCTGTATCCCACAAGCTTGAATCAAACAACGCCGTATCAGAGAGCTCCGATGCTCATGCCGATCTCAATTCTTATCACATCAATGCCCATCTTAACTGCATTCATCACCCTGAAAACCTGCCGACTGTCTGCGTCATATTAGGCGGAAGGCTTGCGGGATCACCGGACCAAAGTGGGGATGGAAGTGCACAGATAACTTTGTTGAAACTCGCTGGGCTTCGTTCACTCGACTCAGCATGGCCTTCGTGCATCAAACACTTGGACAAACTTTCGCAAGACGAGCTGTTCCTAAGGGAACAGCGGCTCTTGACACTCAAAGATGATATCAAGGAGGCACGATGGAAAACATACAAAGATCACGAAGTGCAGCTTATTATGGTGCGCCTTGAGGAATCTGTCGCCACTCTAAGGAACTATTTTATCCAACATTCTACCACGGCGTAGACCTCTGTTTGCCATCTAATAGTTAGCCGAATCGTCCACTTCAAGTCCACTTTTTATTACAGCTCATTGGCTTATTCATTTCAGAGCGGCTCGGAGATAAACCCCATGTTAATAGTACCGGCGAATATAGAACTGCTTAATGCTACCGAGGACTTCGTTGACTGTTTGTTGATGTCGATGCTGCGACACAGAATAGCGACGAACGGATTTTATACTACTGCGCTTAGTTTGACGACTTATATCTTTGATAGAAATGCATGTTAGTCTCACAAATAGTGGATATTTGATAATGTAACATGCAGTTATGAACATCTTACAGGGTTGAGCAATCACCAGGCGGCCGCGATTTACTGCGGGTGGCACTTTGGCGTAAGGTTCATTGAGAGCATATTAATATGGATGAGTAACTGCAATTTTCTACTCCTGTTCTACACCTATCAACACGAATCAACACAAGGATTACGTAGGTAATTCAGACCGCCGCGGAATGAGACCTGGTGCGCAATAAAATGTAACTGCAAGGATCTCAGGCAGTGCAACCAAGGGGTACCAGGAATGTTCGTTGAGCGCTGCTTCAGTATTATTCGTAGCCGTCAAGAAAGCCTCGCGCACGATGAGTAGAATCGAGATGGCACAAAGTATGAGCGACCCATGCTTTTCTCCAAAGGCCTTGGCATGTTCCCTATGGTAACCTAGACTACGATCCGAGTCTGTCAAACCGGGTGAACGACTTGACAAAAGATGCACAGGCAATCATCTATCTCCCTTCTGACGAGCACTACTGTCCGGTACGCCTGAAGAACGGTGAGTACCAAGGCAAGAATAACACTAGCTTTGCGGAGAGCAATGCCAGTAGAACTTGTTGGGTCATTCAATTCCGTAGTGATACCCGCTATTCCCAGCGCGTTTTCAGCTGTGAGGAAAGCTGGAAGATACCGCGACTACACGATAGGCGCGATAGAATGCCTGTGGGCGGAGGGAGGTCAGACAGTAGCTCTCTGGGAGTAATCAGCAACACTCAGTGCTAGCCTATAAATCCGACTCACTTGTCCGGCACCAAGGTGTATGCAGCGTACAACAACCCGAAGAACCCTATCCCGAACAAGATCTCATCGGCAACGAGGAGACCAAGGCTTTTGCCTGCTGAATCCGATCCCATCAAAATCGCGCGTATGATGAATGCAACGGAACGGACTGGGAGAGACGCTCAGTAGATACTCTATCGATAAGAAAAAACAGCTTACTTGCACAGAAAATAGATAACATTGCATGAACATAAGTGGGATATTTGAAGGATTGTAGGACAAAAAATCCACACAAAGGGACGTAGGCGATGGTGAAAACAATGGCTGCGGCTATACTGTTGTATCCATAGGCATCTGCGTAGTTGGTGCCTGCCATTTTATATTGAGGTGTTGTTGGGAAGGAAGGGTAGTTGGGCTTCAGCTTGGCATTGGCGTCGCCTTTATAGAACAGCCAAGTGGTTCTCAGACGCGTCTATTTCAAATTAGTTCGCTTTTCCTTGCGTCTTGACGGCCCGGAGAAAGTAACTGGTGCCGTTGGGCCACTGTAGGTACCGTCGGGAGGAGATGGAGTGCGTCGGATCACCCAAAGCACCGTAAAGACGGTACTCATCCTGTGTGTGCCATTACTGTGTCCATCTTATGGAGGTTCTTCCGTGCCACGGAGTCGGAAGAACCCGTGGCTTAACAGAAAGACGGTTCGACTGCTTCCAGCGTTTATTCTTTTCTTTGGATATGCTCGTATGCGTTCCCCGACGCCTGGAAATCTTGTACAACCGCCTTGCAGGTCTGGAGCAAGAGTATCCAGAGCTATCGATGGGGGTGCGGTCGGTGATACAAAGAATATCTGAAGTACATTTTCAGGCATGGAATCAGAAGCAAGGCGAAAGAAGTGCTACGCGCACCTCCACTACTAGTGGATTCCCTCCGCCTGCAGCAAGCTCTATCGCAGCACCAAGGATCCTTAATCCATTAATCCATACACGTCTCGAGCTCTTGAAGGCATCCGATTCGTTCAACGGTTAGGGCACAGCTGCAAGGGAGGTACATAGGTTAGCGAGTCGCGACACCCCGACGCCGAGATAACAATGAAGGCATGCGGCGTGCGCATTTATCTGTACCGGAGTCAGGACTCGAATGCCGGATCTCGAGAATAACAAAAAAAAAGGAAGAAGAGGATTTTATCCAACAGAATCTATTGAAAGTTCCCGCTAGTCGACTTGAACGACTGATTCGTCATACTTAAACCAGGAGGTTTTCCAGAATAAGATATACTAGTGACGTGCTCTGCCAACTGAGCCAAGAGGGATTGACGGAGATACCTGTCAGAAAGTAGACAGCTGCAAAGCGAGCGTCAAGGATAATGGAGACGCAGTATATTTAGCGTCATCAGAGGATATGGATTGAGAAGGAGTAGAGACGAAGGAGCCCGGCAGGTCGGTAGCATGATACTACCTGGCACATATGGGTGTGGTCGCATAGTAGAATCGGTCGCAAGCAGATGCGGGACTGGGCGATTAGAGCAGAAACTAAGATGTGAAAATATGGTAAGTACGCCAAGACACATACAGAAAATCTAGATCTGATACATAATCCTGGTGGACGAGAAGACATGGACGCTTGATTGATCTATGTCATATGAGTGCTTGAAAAGAAATTGACAATGTGGAATTGATGTACCATCAATCAATGTCAGCCGTGCGCATGAGTAGAGGACCGGGGCGTCATGCGTAATACTCTGAAAACGAACATGTTTCATCCTTTGGTATCAACGGCATTGCATCGAACGAAATGTAACAAGTGAAGAAAGCACATATTTCTCCGTGGGAAAATACATGCTTCTTCCTCTTCCGGGTCTTTCCGGGCCCTCCCCACGGCGTCGACGCTAGTTTTAATTAGTGTCGCCGATCGGCGGCCCGGCGGAATGGTGCTCGACTTCAAACCACAACGACAGGAAGGCTTCGACACATTCAAGTGCTGCGGCTCCCTCGCGATTTGCGCAGTAAGTACAGCGTCTTGCCTGACTGAGAAGCTGCGTAACAAACTGCTGGGGCTGACGTTGGAACTCAGTGGTAGAATCCCCAGTCGCAGAGACTGTTTTTCTCTGCCGCCCGTGTGACTTTTTCATTTTGTCCAGCTAAAATATCGATGGAAGCACGCGACACAAACAAACAAGCTATGAGTATTAGCTCCATTACCATCGTACTGGGCGGGAGATATGTACTCACCGATGCAAGTTCATACACAACACGCAGGGATCCGGTATAGGCCGTAATAAGAGGTGCATTATCTCTTTCAAATACTTCTGGTTTTTCTTCTCATACTAACAAAGCATTACTTCCTGGGCAACAAATCCTCAAACGTATCTACTTCCTTGAGATTCCGGGTACACTGCAACGATTGAAGCGAGTTATTCTTCTACCTCCTCCCTGTGATGCACTCTCCCTATTGGCCCGCACGAGGCCTGCAATGAATAAGACGTGTCCTCTGACGGAATATTCATGAACCAGGTTAGTGAGAGAACTTATTCATAGGGTTCTATTTTTAACAGGTTATTCTTATCCTCAGTCATCTCCCGGGAGTAGTATATATGGCGGCGGAGTCGCCAGGATGTCTCGTCTTATCGCTACGAAATGAAGCGTTTCTTTCTGCTTGCTCTTACCGCGGCATCTTTCGTTCATGCTAGGGTATGGAACGATACCGGCGTCGGCGCTATCGTTTTTGAAGAGGCATGGTCAACTCCTGAAATTGCGGTCACAGTGGGGTGAGTGTTATCTCATGACAAGATGTCGCAAATATTAATTTGAAAAAACATAGTGGTGCACCGGCTCTTGGTGCGTCTCATGCTCTTTGGCAGTGCCTACAGCTAATCTGAATGAATACCATGACAGGCAAAACTATCGAAATACTTCATGCAAATCTCGTTGATGTTCATAATCACAGACTTGCACTTATGGACGAGTTTGGTATTGACTTCGTAAGTGACGGCTCCGTCCTCTGAAGCTTCCCTGAGTTAATAAATGCGCACTCAGATGGTTCTCTCTTGCGTACAACCTTGCGTCCAAGGGGTATCCGATCCGGAAACAGCCGCCGCAATGGCCGTGGATCTCAACAACAACTTGGCGGATCTTATTTCAAACAATACTCTACGGTTTGGTGCCTTTGCGGCTTTAGCTATGCATAATGCCTCTGTGGCTGCTCAAGAACTCAACCGGACCGTCAAGGAGCTGGGGTTCCTCGGAGCTTTGCTCAATGATTATCAACAGTCGGGACCGAATGACGGTATGTCTCCGTGTTACCCTCACGTCGCACGAGGTATCTAACGTGCCTGTAGACACACTCTTATACTATGATCAACCGGAATACGATGAATTCTGGCAGATGGTGACGGACCTGGATGTACCAGTGTACCTCCACCCTAGAACGAATGTCGAGCCTATTTTGTCGCTCGTTTATGGCCATGGCTTTGGTCTGGAAGGCCCTGCCCAAGAATTTGCGGCAACGCTGTCGACACATATATTAGGATTATGCACCAACGGGGTGTTCGAGTAAGCACACTCCATTTGCGTTTGCGTACATGTGCGATTAACAAATGTGGACAGCCGGTTCCCAACTCTCAAAATCATTGTTGGCCATCTCGGGGAGAGACTTCCCTCGGACTTATTCAGAACTGATGAACGTAAGTCTTGTAATGGGATCCCATCTTTCACGGTCTTGACTCATCTGTTATAAAAGAACTCCTTCGTCAAGTTCCCCTGGGAATTCCTATGCAGCGGAATGCCTCCTCGTATTGGCTAACGAATTTGTATGAGACGACTGCCGGAAATTTCGCAACGCCGTTGCTGCAATTCCACAAGTCACAGATAGGTTTAGATAGGATTATGCATTCGATTGATTATCCCTTCGCTCTAATCAGTGAAGGGCAAGAGTGGGTCAATAGCCTAGCAGACTCGGATATACTGACGAGAGAAGAGCTGCTAGAACTAAAGAGGGGTACTGCGATAAGGGTGCTGAAGTTGGATGACTGAAATTGTGATGTGGGTGTACATCAATAACATTGGTTGGAGTACCAGTTACAATTGGACGACCATCGTCTATTACGCGAGCTGGAGAAGGAAGGTAAATCATTTCTACGCTTCGTACGTGAGAACTTGAGGAGGGAAGGTGGCTTGCAGGACGACGTTGTGGCTTAGCAGAACGCCACTACACTGCCATCTGGGCCCGAGCAGTCGGCAGCGTCAGAGTCGCGAAGTCAGGAAACGGAAACAGACAATGAACCAGACCAGATAACCTCAGTTAGCGATTTCGTGTTGTACATGAATGTGAATACATTCATATTCATTTCCTACTATACTTCTGAACGCAATCTGAATCTAGTTCTGTTCCTTCTGCACCTTACTGGCAACGAACTGGCACCTAACCACCTCTTTCCCATCAGCGGTTTCAACAAAACTCCCACTCATCGTCGTAGTGTTCTGTTGCAATACAATCTGCCTTTTCTCGCCCACGGAGAAACGATCCCAGATGGGTGATCGCTGCAGCTTGAAAGTGTTTGGTTCCTGTGTCCGTACGAAGGAAAGCCAATACGCGATCAGCTCCTGTGAGAATGCCGTTTCTTCTGGCGTCAGTGAGCTAAAAGTCGCAGAACCATTGTGGCTTGACCTCGCGTTAGGTCAAGGGAGGGTCAGGGAAGGAGAGCGCGCTTACCCTGTATTGCTGCCGAGGAACATCATCCAATTCTCTGCCCCGTGACCGACGATGGTAGGATTGTCGCTCGTCGGATTGGGTTGGTTGTATCGGTAGGCCCATGTATTAATCCCTTTGCTGGAATACGCACTAGCCAGTATCGGCCGCTGTTTGCGAAAGAGTATGTCAATGGAAGCGACAATAAGCACTTGAATGTACTCACACAGCATCGATTCAAAGATTCGCCTGTCGCCGCAGCTAGTCTTTGTTCCTCAGACTCAAAGTCCGAAGATGGGTACGCCTGAAGGGTAAGGTTTGACAAGAGCCACCAGGACGAAAGTTACTCACGACGAGGTAATCGCTGGTGTCTTGTTCGTCTAGTCCCGGAAATAGGATTTTCAAGGATGACGGTATATCGTGTCCCAGAACGTATGATTCGTTAGAATCGGTGCTGGCTTTGTTCAATTTCTCATTTTGAGAAGGACACAACAGCGCTTACCCGACGATAAGAGGGACGCGGGCGAAATGACCTAAGCCCAGGGACACTGTTGGGAATTCGGTGAAGGTCTTGCCGTCTATGACAGGATGAAAGGCGTTGTAGAGACTAGCACTGATAGAATCTAATTATAACAGCTGACAATGCGGTAGAAAATGAACGTACAATTCACCATTCGCTGCGGCATCTTGGGCGTGAGCAAGAGCGCTCACGTTGGCTTCTCTCAGACATTGTAATTTGGAAGAAAGGCTGCCAGATCCGCATCCTGCTCGCTCTGCATAAAAGTCGAACAAGGGCTATGAGCAGATCAGTCAAACCACTGGGGGTTGATAGGATGACTCACTCGCTGCTGCTCAGGGAATGGAAGAGGGGTCCTATAAGCGCTCTGTACGATAGCGCCGGAGAACAGCGATTCATCTTCATGCGCAACGAGATGGAGCTCCACCGAGGCTCCTCCCGCGCTCTGCCCATTGATAGTCACCCTCGAAGGATCTCCGCCGAATGCTCGTATATGTCGCTTGACCCATTTAAGGGCCTGTGTCTGGTCAAGAAAGCCAACATTGAAGTCTCCATTGACAGTGTTTGAGAATTCTGGGATAGCAAGGAACCCAAAGGAAGAAAGACGGTAATAGATGGTGACGATGACGACATTGGGGCTTTGATGGACCCAATGGTCGAATGGAAAGGTGGCGGGGTTGCCGTAAACGTAGCTTCCTCCGTGGATATAAACAAGTACGGGCACTAGAGGGGCGTCATTAGTAATGTTTCGCATGTTATTGAGATGCATACAATTGCTTCCATTGATGGGTGAATAAATGTTGACTTTCAAACAGTCTTCACTGCCTGCGCCTCCTGCGTCACCGACTGAAATATAAAATGGTGCCTCAGACCCAGAACTTCGAAGGACTAGCATGAAGCAGACATACCCAGAGTAGACCCCTGGACGCAAAAGTCGGGGTAGGACGTCGCGTCAAAGATAGCGCCATTCGCTTCTGATGCTATTCGTGTCGTGTTCAAAGGGATAGGTGCACGAAATCGACGGTCACCAATAGGAGGCTCTGCGTAGGGGATACCAAGATATGCGACAGTGTCGGAGTACGAAAGGTTGCCACGGTACTTTGCGTATC